TACTTCTTTATTAATTTTCTGTTTGAGGCATTGTCTTGTGCATCAGTGGAGTGTTGAATCTCCGGATAGAGTTCTATTAATATTTGCTTGTCAGTAGTTTGCTTTATGAATCTGTTTCACTGTTGGTACATTATGTTAATTGTTACTTTTTGTTGAAGTGTTGCTTCATTAGTATAATACCTCTTTGTCTTTCACTACTTTGTTGTTTAAAACTAATCGTTGAATTAAATTGCCACGCCAGTTTTTGGTTCATTTTTGAAAACTGATCTCCACTTTTACTTTATCGTATATGTACCTTGCAGTTAGATGTGTTCCTTGAAGACAGATATACTTGGCCTGTATTTTCTTATCATTCAGCTACCTATGTCTCTTGAGTGGAGAGTTAACATTGCACCATTTATTGAGAGAACTGATAGGTATGGTTTGGTTGGATGTTGGTTGGGTTCTGTTTGGTTGGATGTTGTTGCTTTGATTTCTCTCTTGAGCCATTGTAATATCTGGCCTTTAATCTTTGGGTTTTGATTGTTTTTATAATCGTCAGTTTTTATTATGGTGTTCCATGCGTAACACTGTTTGAGTACTCTTTGTAGGGCTGGTCTTGTCTTGGTGAATTTCTGAGACTTTGCTTATCTGAGAATGTCTTTATTCTCCCTTCAAATAATAGCAAGGTAGTTTGCCAGGGATAAATCTAAGGCTGGCTTATTTTGTTCGGAAGAGTGAGAATGGGGCCCCAGTCTCTCCTTGCTTGTAAAGTCTTAGTAGAGAAGTCTAGTGTTATTTGAATTGGCTTTCTCTTGTATGTTACTTGCTTCTTTCGTCTTACAGCTCTTAGAAGGGCCTCTTTAGTTGATATTTTGGTCAGTCTGATGACTGCATGTTGTGATGTCTTCCTGTTTGCATTGAATCTCCCAGGGTTCCTCTGAGCTTCTTGAACTTGTATATCGAGATTTTCAGCAAGGCCTGGGAAATTTTCCTCTATTATATCTTCAAATAGCTTGTCCAACCCTTGAGTGTTCTCTTCTTCCCCTTCTGGTAACCTTATGAGCCTCACATTAGGTTTCTTCACATAATCCCACATCTCTTGTAGGCTTTGCTCTTTTCTCTTGTTTCTCAGCTCTATCTCTGTGTCTGATTTATTTAATTGGAGGGTGTTATCTTCAATCTCTGAGATTCCTTCTTCTGTTTGATCTACCCTGTTCTTGAGACTTTCCACTGTTTTTTTTAGTTTCCTGAATTGATTCTTCATTTCCAGGAGTTCGGTTAAACTTTTCTTCATCGTGTTGATTTCTTTAGTGAACTTTTTTTCCAGGTCCTGGAGGCTTTTTGTGGTGGTTTCTTTGTGTTGGTTATTGAGTTGTTCTTGCAGGTCATTGAATTTTCTTATGATTCACATTTGAAATTCTTCTTCTGTCATTTTGGTTGCCTGATTTTGGTTGGTGTCTCTTTCTAGAGGTCTGGTGCTCCTCTTTGGGTGTGAGTTTTCTGTTTGGTTCCTCATATTTCCGGAGTTCCTTCACTGATTTCTTCCCATGTTGATCAGTTGTTGTTTCTTTCCTTTAGGTTTTCATTTGGGTATTCACATGCCTTGTTTAGTTCTGAGCCATTAGGTGGTGTCTGTGGGTGAGATTCGACGACTCCCTGTATAACGAGTCAGTAGGTGCCATGAAAAGGCTGTGCAGGATGCCGTCCCTGTCAGTAGGTGGCGCTTTCTTGGAGGAACAGGCTACGCTGTTGTTTTTGTGTCCTGTTATCAGCTCTTGTTCCTGTAGAGAGGCACTCTAGTGCCTCAGGTGGTCGGCGGGGCCCTGGGACTTCCAGGTGTGTCCTTTTCTCCCCCTCAGTGAGGGCTGGCCTAGGAGAGAGTCTGGGTGGAGCTGGGTTTGGTAAGCCTGCTCTCAGGCACCACCAGTGCCATTAGCAGGGGTCAAAGTTCTATTCTCTGCTTCCAGGAAAAGCTGTGAGGGAGGGGCTGGAATGGCCCCTGCTCAGTCAGAAAGTCTATGTGTGGGGTGGGGCTGTCTGAGACCCAAAGTCTGGAGAGGGCCTCGCTTCTTTCCACCCTCCCCAACTCCACAGCTACTCCTGGGCCTCTGCCAGCAGGCTAGACCACATGCCACCAAGTCTCCCTGGATTGTGATGCTGGCAGGCAGGTTCCCTGAGTAGGGACGCCACCTGGGCTGGGCGCATGGCCTCCCTTTGGGTGGAGGGTTGCCCTCTAGGACGTTGATCTGTCCCTCAAGGCACACACACACACCTCAGTAGGCTGTTCACGTATATCCCTTCTGTGCCCCGAGCAATGCGAGACCTCGGTCCATGGGATCTGGTCTGTAGGTCTGACGTCTGGGCCCCAGAGTTCAAACTATATCCTCACCAGGGAGAGGAGTTGCGGTCCCAATTCACCCACAGGGAGCCCAAGCTGGGTCTGTCTCTCAGCCTCAGGGTCTGCCCCGTTCTCCTGGGTTTACCTTGGCAGCAGCACCTGGGAGGGCTGGCGGGTAGGGAGCTCACAGTCTGAGTTCCCCTTAGTCACCTGTAGGGCCCCAAAAGGGAAGGTCCCGTTCCCTGGAGGTGCCTCCGGCTGGTGGCTATATTGTCTCTCTGGGCAGCCGCAGGTAGGGTTGGCAGGGGGAGAAGGAGTCATTATGGCGCCTGCTGCACGGCTCGGGTCTGTGCACATGGAGGTGCCCCGAGGGATTTGGGAGCCTGTTGCCATGTCCGCTACTGGCTTACTGCTCACTGGCAGCGGCTGTCACTTGGCTGGTGTCTGCAGGTCTCTCCACCTGCTGGGTAGCCCACCAGCAGTCCGAGATGCAGGGGAGGGGAAACAGCCCATCCACCTACCCTTCCTGCTGGTCTCCAGGCTGCTCCGGCAGTCTCAGCTTCCAGTTCTCTTTGGCACCCTCCTCCTGTAAAGTCTCCTGTGGTCTCAGGTACCCCTCCTTCCGACCCTCTTTCACTGTATGCTCGTCTTCTTGCTTCTTTCTTCTAATTTCTGGTAGAATCTGTCTTTTCTGCAGAGACACTCTGTCTGGCGATGTTTCTCATCTGCCAACTTGTTTCCCCTCTCCGGAGTCTCCTCTTCTGAACTGATAAGAAGTGGAAGAACTTTTGCTTTTTTCCCTCTGCTTGAGAATACAAGTCCCTTGTTAAAGTCTGTAATCCTCTAAAGTGGCAGGAACCCTTGAGTTTCACTTCCTTGGGTTGGATCAAAATAGTTTTTATCATTAACTTTCCTGGTATTTGGGCAAGCCAGTCTTTGGTCTGGGGCATCAAAGGTGGGCGGAGTTTGTGCTGACTTGGTTGGGGAATCTGTCTGTGAGAGATGAAGGGTATTCAAGAGAGAAGCAGGTTTAGTTAGCAGTCAGCACTGCTCGGTACATGTGCTGGGTTTCCCTTCTCAGAACAAGGCTATCTGGTTTCCTTGTCTTTCCCTACACCTTCCACTTACTGTCCTGAAGGGAAATACCAATAATATTAGTTCTTTCCTCTTCCTCTGTGTTCTGTCACTTGCCACAACTTCCTGGTTCTACTCCTACTGGGCCTTCCGAAGCATTTTCACCCTTTAGTTCTTGTTGGTTCTGTCCAACTTAGGCCTTTAGTTCGTCTCACGTGGACTTGCCATGATGGCCCTCTTTGCTCATAATGTAGTCTGAACTCTCTGGCTTGGTGTACCTTTGATTTTTCTTTTCAGCTCCATCATGTGGTGCTTCTGCCCCATCATCCAGCCATACAACTATCTTTTACTAAATGGATCTAGAACACTGTTCCATTCCCTGAGAGTGTCATGGTTATTAAGAGCACAGATTCTGCCAGGGTTCAAATACTGTCTCCACCGTTTGCTAGGCATGTTTCCCTGAAAATGTAACTTATCCTCACAGTGCCTCAGATTTCTCACAATAAAATGAGAATAAGAATACCATTCTGCCGCATAGGGTTGTTGTGAGGAGTAAAGGAGATATCCTATGTAGAGGACTCAGGACTGTGCCTGCATGTAGGAAGTGTTATGGAAGTATTAACTGTAATCATTATTACTGTCTAATGTCTTGTCAAAATTCTATGTATATATCTGCTCAAATGTATTCTCTCAAATCTCCCTAACCATAGTTAGTCTTATCCATTCATTAATGCATCCATCTATTGCTTAAAATAATTTTTAAAAACTTTCTTAAATATTTATTAAATATTTAATATGTATAAGGTATAAGACTACTCACTCTGAGGAATAACAAAACTTAGTCAAGTACTTACTACCCTCTAGGAGCTTAGATTCTAATAGGAGAGATCAAAGAAGTATAAAATATTCATCTATTCAGCAAATGATTATTGGGCAACTGCATAGTATCCAGGCAGTGTATATAGTTACATGGGTTCTGAGCTTGGTGTCATAGTTAATGATTAATTTTGGTGAAAAATCAGAGTTTGATAGCTTTAGCAAAGCACAGTTAAAGTGAAGGATGGATGGACTTTGCCCTTGTCTACCTCTCTGAGGAAGTATCCATGTACTCCCTCGGGCTGTGGCTGTAGGTGGACTGCAGGATTTTCATGATTGTAAGCTCCTCAAGAGCAGAGACAGTGTTCTCATCATTTTTGAGTTCCTAGGGCTCACTCCAGGTCTAGCACATACTCACTAGGGGATGATGACAGTTTAGGGAGATTGTGATTTGATGATTCTTAATATCTGTGAAGCAATTAAACTTCTCAGAGAAGACATTTGTATAAACTGAAAATGAGGCTTTTGGAGATATTCATATTATTTCTTATACATTAATTGTAGCCATAGTAGTCATGATAGCAGTATAATAAAATGAATTCTGCATCAATCCATGTAGATATCTCTTCCCATTTTTCTGTATGTTTCTGGGAAGAAATTCTTATAGATTCTCCATTAAAGCCTGCCCTGGTCCTAGAATTCCAGGGTGTGATTTCATGACTTTGATCACATGAGAAATCTTAGTTTTAAAAGCTGCCCAACAGTTTTAATTCTGAATTTCTCCTTGTAGCAAGGAGCAAGGACCAACCCCAGTGGAGAAAAAGAAGAAAGGAAAAAGGAAAAGTGAAACTACAGTGGAGAGTTTAGAGCTGGATCAGGGCCTGCCGAACCCATCCCTGCGGAGTCCTGAGGAGTCCACTGAATCTGCAGACAGCCAGGTACAGCTGTGACTGGGAGGCCTGGTGGAGGTTACGGCTGCTGGACGGGGTCTTGCTGACACTGATCCTGTTACTCCTCTATGCCTGTCTATAGCATACTACCTAGACCTGGGCTCTTACTGTTTTGGTGGGTGAGCAGGTAGACTATAGTCTTTTTCCCTACTCTGATCTTTATACTAATCATATTTCAGTGTTTTAGTGATGTTGCCTTCCTTCTTGGAAAGTGGCTTGATATTAGGCTGCAAAAGGAGTTGATATGGAAAATGAAGTTGTAAGCTAAGCTAGGTAAGGCTCAAGGGGGCCTGGTTTGCCATGTAGGTAATGCATTTAGTACTCAGAATGCTAGGCCCATCTGCACAAGGACATTTTTATAATCCCAGATGCTAGAAAAGTCAGAGATATATTCATTATGCCAAAAAGTAAGGAAGGTTTGGCCAAACATGGAAATAAGGAGTTGCCCATCTAATTCAGATTCCTAAAAATAAGCCAAAGTATGCCCATGACATTGTTAGGATTTTCCCTTTGAGTTGAAGCAACCTGTCTTGGACATGAAGTCTAATTTTGAAAGTGTTCTGTTTCCTCTGATATCCATAGCAATTTATCTGAGCTATGCTGTTGCAAGGGGACCATTTAGAATAAGAGTGACTTACTGTACCTTCCAGGATCATCTGGACCCTCATAGGTTTCTCAGTGATCTTCACTATAGGAAACTGGAAGCTCATAATGTCATAGTATTAATAGGCAATGGTGTCAGAGCATAGATCCCCTTACTGCCTACAAACTGGGGCAGGTGGCGGTTAGGTATCCAGATTGGCAGAGGAGCAAGCACATTGAGCTGATGGGATTTGGCAGGCAATTAAGTGTTTGCTGGATGGTGATCTGTGTGTGTGGGCTCAGGGGGAGGTTTTTATGTAGAATCCCTCATGTAATGTTAAACGCCTTAGAGGTGACATAGTGAAGAAGTGATGGGAACACAGGGAGATGTCTGGGGTATATCTTTTAGAAGAAAAGAGAGTTGAGTTTTGCTTTTGTTTCTGTTTTTTAAGGTTTAAATATTTGAGAATTAGCTAGTTGATGAAGAGTTCCCTGAAGTGAGTCTGTAGTTACCTGTATATAATGAGTTGGTAGAGGTGAATTATATGGTTCTGTGTTTGAGAAAAGCCACTGCGCTGCTTTGTTGTTGAATGTTGTTTCTTTAAAAGGTACAAGCTACTAAATTAGCAATGAGTTCTTATATCATCACAGTCAAGGTCACTCATAAACTTGTTTGTCATACTTAAGATGTCTCCTTGCATTTCAAAAAGTATTATGAGATTCTCAAACTACGTCCTCATAAAATTGGTATTAATTAGTTTTCAAACCACACTGTTAGAAGTACATGGTAAGTATTGTGAATTCAAAATAAATACTATCATTGTCATAAAATGTGAGCTTCTAGCTAATGCCACAAAGGACCTCAAAGATGATGGAGTTCACCTCCATACCTGTTTTATTGGAGTAGAAGCAGATCTCAGAAAGGCAGGAAAAAATCACTGCCATTGATGAACAAAACATGTCTCACCAGACTCTACCTTCTTTTTAGTGGATCATAGCAATTTGGAGATTGGGCTTTTACTCTCTAGCTCACTCAGCTAGATCCCCTTTTGAGTAAATTTAGTCCTTAAAAGAATTGTGTTTAAGAAAGATTTCTTATGTAAGGTGAGAAAGCTCTCCTTGGCATGTTAGTAAGTGTAGATGAGGATATTCTTGTGTAAGTTTTTGCCTCTTCAACTCACAGAGCTTCTCTGATGGGTGCATTTGCCCTGCAGAAACGACGCTCAGGACGGCAAGTAAAGCGCAGAAAATACAACGAGGACCTGGATTTCAAAGTGGTGGATGATGATGGGGAAACAATCGCTGTTCTTGGAGCTGGCAGAACATCTGCACTCTCAGCTTCTACACTGGCTTGGCAGGCAGAGGTATGACCTTTACGTGAGGGTGCTGACCTGGGCTGCATGGTCATTTTTGCATAGTTGGCAGAGTTGTTCTATAGCTATTTGCTAAAGTATAAGTTAGGTCATTTTAACTGTTGCTTGATTTAACTTCCTTGCCCTTAGAATAACATGCAGACTCCTTTCTGTGCTCATTAGGACCATCTATGATCACGGTCTCTCTCTATTTCACTAACATAATTTTTTAGATAAGTGACTTTTCTTTATCTCTCATTACTCTTCAGTCAAAAGACTGGCCATCTTTTAAGCCTTCAACTAACAGTTCTTCCCCACTGACAGGCCTTTGCCTGTGTTGTTTCTTCTGCATGGGATGCTTTACATTTACCATTGTTTAAGTTTTGCCTAAAGTGGTGTCTCCTTCGAGAGGTCTTTCCTGATTCCTTTATCCCTGCCCCTTATCCCAGTGATTCTTTATTTCAACTCCTTTATTTCTTACATAGCACTTACTACAACTTATAATTGCATTTGAATGTATTTGATCTCTGATTTTGTTTTATTTGTCTCTCCCATTAGAATGTAAAAGTCTTATGTAGTAAATAATTGTTCAGTGAAATCAAATGAACTAGTATTTACTGTTGGAGCTTTGGTTCAGCAAATGTGTATTGAAAGACTGGAAGTATGTGCTAGGTACAGTGGCTACACAGAAAGAGGAGTGGACAGGAAAGGAGTAGTCAGGGGTATAGGAAGATAAGGACTTAGGAGGAACATTTCCAACATGAACTAAAGCCCCAGGACCTGAGTGGCACTACAGAATGGTATGCCAAATGGATGAGCTCGGCTGGATGCTGGAGTGTGATTTAAGGGGTGGTGGGAAATGAGGGCTGAGAAGTAGGAGCAGAGTATGCAGGGCCTTGGATATCACCTAAGGTATTTGGCCTATATAATGTAGACTGGGGCAGGAGGCATTGATGGGTTCAAGCAGAGAAGCAAGACGGCTAGGTTTGCACTTTAGCAATTTCCATTGGCAGCATCGTCAAGGAGGAATTGATACAGAGCTAATAACATCAGGACTTGATGCAGAGGTACTAGAAAGGAAAAGAGTTAAATATTGAAAAGGAAGAGTTCTGTGCCAGGGAGCTTATAGAAAAGTAGCAGGCTGTGCATGTAGGAGGGGCATTATTGCCAGCAGCACATTCTGGGACACAGGCCGTCTGTTGTTACAGAGTCATTGTCGCTGACTTGGCAGAATTCACACTCTGTGTGGAGTGGTAGCAGCACAAATACCTGTCATTCCTCCCAGGCACTAGTGTGTCTTATGAAAGCTGGTAATACTTTATCTTCTCCAACCACCTTGCCTCTCTAACTTGAAGCATTTTCATATAATTTCACATATCCTTTCACTCTATCTTTGCATGGAAGGTAGCAGGGAGCAGGGGTTATTGTCAGCATTTTAACAATCAAGAAACTGAGGCACAGAATTATCCTGGTCAGAGTTATATAGCAGCAGTTAATCAGTGACTAGGATATAAGAGTTGATTTCATGTCTCTGCTAAGGGTTATCCAACTAATGAATATAATACTTTATAGGAATAATAATTTGACATTATCATTGCAATACTTTTTAAGTAAATAGTTAAAAATAGCCCTTGCAAGACTGCTATGAGGTGATAGGATTGTATTACTTTCTAATGGGTTTTCCTTCCTAGGGGATTTTATGGTAGGTTTGATAGTTAAAACACTATAAGGGATCTTATTTTCTCCTAGTAGCCATTTAGCCTAAGCCATTAACTGTATTTCAGATGTTGTTATGACTTCTCCCCTGGCACCTGAAGGGCAATGGTAGCTGATCTGACACAAATAATTCAGGACATTTTATGTATCTTATTCAAGGCTCTTTTTTTCTTCTAAGGATACAGCAAAGAGAGGGTTTATATATGGAGAAACATAAAATAAAATGGGAATTTGCATTAATTATGCCTCAAAAAATTTTACCAAATTTAGGCAAGAAAGAAGCCTGATACATGGTTTTGGTTTTGGTGTTCGGAGAGGCACCCATGTGGCTCTGGCCTCCACGACACAGGCCTGGCATACCATGCAAAACAGGCCAGACAGCCAATCCGGCACTGGAAAAGCCAGCTGATCAAGCAGTTTTCAAACCAGTGCTCCATAGAGCCCCAGTTGCTGCAGAACCAAAACAGTTCTACTTGCCACTGTTTTACATTCTGGGCTTCCTGGTGAAGTTTGAACAAAGATTTCCCAGACTAATGCAAAGCCTTAAAGCCATGGATTCCAGGCATCAAGTGGCACAGAAAATCACTGAGGATTTGAGGCTTTTTCTTAGTCCCTCTCCCAGGGCCCTTTGGGTAGGAGTCTGCCTGCCTGCTAGCTTTAGCTCAGGGCAGAAAAAGGGATGGAGTCAGCACCAAAATGGCCCCACCGCCACCTCTCCAGATCTGCGCAGTGTCTTGTCAGCATGCTCAACCTACTTCTGTGACTGCTGGCCCTTGTCCCAGCCCCAGATAGCAACCTCAGCATTGGTTACGGAGTGGTGAGTTGCTAAAAACATCATTACACACAGTTCATTGTAGCTCAAGACTAGCATATTATCACAGCCACACTTTGCAATCCAGAACACAGTCCCAAGCCCCTGACCTGGGTATCAGATTCAGGGGCTGGAAATAAGTTTCTATCCTAACTGTGACTCTTTGCTTTCTTATTCTTTGGCAAACTGATGTTGGTGCCTGGAACAGAGACAAATGTTCATGGTTCTGCAGTGCATTTACAGTGTGCAGGCTTTTACAAGATTGTCTCGGTTTTTGCCTCTTACAATTTGGGTGGCTTGTATGATTTTGCCTTTTGGAGCAAAATTACTTATTTATTTACTATTAAATCATTTATCCTCCTGAGGGGGTGGTGCCCCATTCTTGAAAGGTTGAAGCATGGAGTGGACAGAGCAAGCTCCTATTCCTTCTTCTCCCTGCTCTAAAAATCCATTTAATGTATGTTAACTATTAAACCAATAAGAACATATACTACACATGATCTTAGACAAAAGGCCAAGAAGGGATGACGAAAGGACTTTAATTTGAACAAGGCTTTAGTGCTTTGTCCTCTCCTGTGACTCTGTGGTCTTTGCATACAGTACCCTCTTCTTGGTCAGCCTATTCCTGTGCCTGGCAGGCTGAGCACAGTTGTCTCCTCCTTAAGGAAGTTCCCTGCTCCCCCTGAGCCTGGGGATAAGTGCCCCTCCTTTCTGCTCCTATAGCACTTTGATATGTGTAACTCTTGTCATTGTCTTTTGAACACCTGCCAACTTTTTTGCTTCCTTCTTCTTTTTTTTTTTTTTTTTTTCGACAGGATTTTGCATGCCGATGCTTCCTTCTTCTAAAACATGAGCTACTTTAGGGTAGGGTTTATATCTTTTTTCCTATGTATCATTCAGGCATGAAAGAATTTCCACAAAGTAAAATTTATACCATCTCCCAGAAGCCATTCTGATGAAACCATACTTTCCACCTTCTGTTTTATAATGTTATTTACTATTATTATTAATATATTATTCTCAAAGTTTAGTTAGCTGGAACCCTCACACCACTCACTCATATGCTGTGACTATTCTGATTTTCATTACCTCTACCATACTGTTTTGATTATCACTCATAATTTTTTCCTTAATCAGAGTGTAAAGTTTTTCAAAATAGGCATCACTTTTTTTTTTTTTTTTTTTTTGAGATAAAGTCTCACTCTGTCCCCCTAGCTGTAGTGTAGTACAGTGCAGTGGCATCATCATAGCTCACTGGACTTAAGTGATTCTTCTGCCTCAGCTTCCAGAGTTGCTGGGACTACAAGCACATGCTACCACACCTGGCTAATTTTTCTATTTTCTTACAGAGACAGGGTCTCACTCTTGCTCAGGCTGGTCTCGAACTCCTGAGCTCAAGCAGTCCTCCCGCCTTGGACTCCCAGAGTGCTAGGATTACAGGTGTGAGCCACGGCGCCTAGTCTCACTTTTTAATTTATCATAATTGCCACTTAGCATAGATAGAACTTTGTTTCCATTGAGTAGTAGCTAACATAAAGACTTGTACTTACAGGTGGGAGGGGGGAGGAGGGGATGGGTATATACAAACATAATGAGTGAGATGTGCAACGTTTGAGGGATGGTCATGCTTGAAGCTCTGACTCGAGGTGGGAGTGGGGGCATGGGCTATATATGTAACCTTAACATTTGTACCCCCATAATATGCTGAAATAAAAAAAGACTTGTACTTAGTTGTATTTGTCATATTTATTCAGTGAATAAATAAATATTTAACATCCATTAGGTAAACAGGTATGATTTTTTAAACTGAGAAATACAAGAAATTGGTATTTTTCTTTTTTCCTAGGCTGTTATTTTCTCCATTTCCTTTTACTAGTATTTTTTTCCCCACTGGCCTTTGTCTGTTTCTCACTCTAAGCAGGCATTTAAACCTGCAGACAGACCCCCTTTTCTAAGATTGCTGTATCTTTGTACCAGCTTGTGTGGCTCAGTGCAGGGGGCCTCATTGGGGCCCTTTATCATCAGGCTCCACTGGGCCTCGGTGGATGGTTTCTTGTGTTTGTACCCATTTCTCCATTGGGTTCAGCTACCTGTTCTGTTTTTCTTTAAGTTCTTTCCTGTATTTGTTTTGTCTTGGTTTTTGCTGCACTCCCCTGAGCTGAGGCCAGTGTTCAATTTACTACAGTACACACTTGTGTAGCTCCATGCTACAAATTTCTGTCTTCCTTAACCCAATACCAGACTAATTTTTCCAGCATACCAGGGAAATTGCTGGTATATCTCAGTCTCCTGCTCAAGAATCTGAGGAGGTTGCTTCTTAACTCCTGTATTATATCAAAACTCCTGTGTTTTTAAAAGTGTGACCACACACTACTTGTTTACCCTCATTGATTTATACTCCTCATTCTGTATAATGCTTTTACTCTAATGGGACAAGTTACTTAGTGTTCCAGATATGCATGATAACTTCCTATGTTATGGTTCT